GTACAGGGGAGGGGGCTTTATTTTCTTTCATAATGGAGCGTACTGAATGCAGTGTTTCACAGGCTTCTATTACGCTTCAATCAGGCAGATCTAAATGACCAGCAGCTGCTACTGTGGACCCAGTAAAGGTCAGGAGGTTCAGAAATGCTGTGAGTGGCTGTGGATAATTCTCAATTTATCCTAAACGTAACTGATCAAGAATGAGGCTAACAAGCTTATACTCTGCCAGTTGGCATGTTTTCTATCTAATAATAGTAGTATCAACCATTTTGAAGCCTGAATTTTCCCCAAACTTTTGTCCATTCTTCCAGATAACAGTCAGTATTTGACTGGAAAAAACTCTCTAAGCTCTCTTTCTGTGCCGTCATTTAACAGGGGGCAGAGCTGCTCCCCAGCTCTGTTACTGATGCCCCCCCAAGATGAAGGTTTGGCAGCCTACTCTGCCAGCCTAGCAGAGTTAAAGGTCCTACTCAGTTGATTTTAACTTCTATCTCCTTGTTATTTAGTCAATGCTTCAACAGTTTCCTGATTCCTTATATGTCTTTTGTAATGAATGTAGGATTATATTGTGGCATCCCACTACTGGCTGGCGCAGCCGTGAAGACTCTGGAGGCGTGGCCATGCGGATGGCCATGCACAAAAGCTCATGGTTGGTGCTAGCCCTCCTAAAAAGGGACTTTTTGTTGTTGTTGATGTTGTTTGTTCTTCGTCTAAAGGCAGTGGTGGACAGTAATGAAGTAAATGTAATTCGTTACTGTACTTAAGTAGTTTTTTGTGTATCTGTACTTTACTGGAGTATTTCCATTTCAAAGTCAACTATTTACTTTTTACTCCACTAATTTATGCAAAATCTGTCATTCCTTTTGGCTTATGTGTGTATAAAAACATAACGTCAAAACAAAAGAAGCGTGAAGCAAACACGCCAATCAGGGCACAGCGCGCACTTTGTTTTGAGCTTGTTTTGACCTGTTGGACATACTGACCCAGTGCAAGCATACGGTTCAACATCAGTGCAGCAGCGTAAAATTTTGGGAGAGTCTATTCAACATAAATGATGGAACTGACCTAACTTTGTGTAAATAGACCACAATATAGAAATATGTACACATACGCAGTTGTGACTGGCATCTGTCTTTTTCTGAATTTATACGAACACTATTTCATTTTATAGTGAATTTGTTTTTACTGGTTTATGTTTATGAACAGAGACCTGCAGATGGAATATAGCAAAGGAAACCTCATTTGTGAACCTGTTTAAAGCAAGTTTTTATTAAACTTAAACTTGTAACTAAGTTGCAGTAAGTTAATTAATCTTTCAGTACTTTTACTTTCGATACTTAAGTACATTTAAAGGGAAATACTTTTGTACTTTTACTCAAGTGGAGGTCTAGAAGGAGGACTTTTACTGCTTTTACTGGAGTAATATTGTACCTTGGGTATCTCTACCTTAACTCAAGTACATGATTTGTGTACTTCGTCCACCACTGTCTAAAGGTGTGTTCAGGTCAGTGCTTTGTATGCTTTTTTGCCCTGGTGTTTACTAAAGAACTCTTCTCGTGGTGGAGTGACGGCCTCCCCTGTGTCTTACTCTGCACGAACGCTACAATATCCAGGACAATGCAAGAGTTTTTGTGCAATATATGACTGAGACCACGCCCATTTGTCAACTCAAACATTCCCAGTCACGTTTCCGGTAACCAGTGTTTCCTTTTGGAAACTCTTATCATACAGTGTTAGAAAGCACATAAGGAAGTATATTTTAGATTACTTAATAACTCAACATAGTTTGAGGCAGGTATGTGAACAATGCTAATTGGTGTTTGTAAGCTTTCTGTACTAGCTAGCTACATTAGCTTTGGAAAAAGTAGAGATGCAAACGTCACAAACCAAATATATCTTGGCTGATCAGCTACATTTGGAGTGAGGAGAAACTTGTACACTAAAATATTCCTTTAATGGAGTCTGAACAGCACAAGGCCAGGTGTGGCCTGAGAGAGGCTGCCTGCATGCTCCAGTGCAGGGGAGTTTCTCGAAGCACATCATGAGGTCCTGGAGGCCCACATGTCTGCATAGTCTGGAGAATTCCAAGCTTAAACAGAGCTGGACCAGGTAAACATCAACCCCTCAGAGCTGAAGAAAATGTGTCGGTGCAAAGTGTGACCCTCCCAGACAGGATCTGAGGAACAGTACAGTTGGTTTCAGGGCATCAAGTTAAATTTAATACTTGTTTAACACATCACACATAATTGCAGTCCAGTTATACAGTGATGATATACCCAATATCAAAACACTTTAACTCACTCATATCTCTGTGTTTCTGTGAATGGAGGTAATAGTAGTGTAGCATCTTATCTTTTAATTAATATAATCAATAAAATGATTATATTGGAACACAGCTAGTTATCAGACTAACTTGGTTACTGTTGGCTCTCTGTGTGAAACACTGTGACTGTGTTGACCTGCTAGTGAGCAATGAGGGGTGAAAGGGGAGGGGAGAAAAACCCCTGCTGTGAAAATTATACACACACCTCTCCACAAAGACAGCCGCTTTCTTCATATCAGCAAAGCTGCCACGATAAAACATAGCAGTTAAACACAATAAAATACTTTTATAAATGTTGACTTTCCTGATTACTTATGAAAAAGAAAAATCATACACATTATCACCGAAATGTATTTTAGGTTGCTAAAATACAAGGGTGCTGAAAAAAACTCTAATGAAAAACTCTCTTAAATCTAAGATCACATCAATTCAAATTTAAGACAGTTGAATTCTCCAGACCTTTAATTTGTAAAATGTGATTTTAGTGAAATTAAGACTTTTAAGTCTTAAGCAGACACCCTGTGATTTGCAGCAGGATCGTTTTGAAAATGATTTAATGTATCATGAAATACAAGATTTCATCATGACTTAATTCTTACATTAAATTTTTATAATTTTAATTATTATTAATTATTTTTAGATGATTAAACTTAGAATTATTATTATACACACTGAATACACAAGTGTAAGTGGAGGAGCTATTTACACAGGATTGGAAAATAGGCAATAAAAACAAACACCAAGCTTTTTATTTTGGGATTTTTACATTTGAAAGTAGCCTTTTTGAGGTAATTCGTTACTGAGTATTATTGCTGTTTATTATTCTGATATTCGAAAACTGCAGTTGAATAACCACTTTCAGACTGTCTTACGCATCCAATTTAAGCCAATTAAAGTAGATTGTATAGGTGATTATAGCTGTACGTAACAGGAGTGTGACACATTCACACATGCACAGACACACTGCGTGTGTCAGGAGTGAAGCATGTTCCTTAGAAACCGTGTTGTGAAACAAAACAGGCTGAAAAACCACCGTCACATTCCTCCCCATCCATATACCCCACACCCAAATTCCCCCCAGCTTCCCTCAGCCTGCGCCCCACAGCCAGCCCCCCAGAAACTCACACAGAGCCAACCACGGCCCCTTACACTCCCCACCCGCCCCTCCTCCCCCTTCTGCTGCTCTCACCCTTTCCCACACCCCCCAGCACCACCACCCGCTCCTCATACCCCCACTCCAGACTTCTACTACTGCTCCACACTCGCTCTTTCCCCCTCCCTTCTCCTTCTCCCCTTCTCTCTCTCTCTCTCTGATCCCAGCTGCCTTTTATTCTGCTCACTCAGCCTGGAAGTTGAAAGAGGACTGGAAAAAAACAGGGAAAAGGTGAAAAAATAAAAAAAAGTCAGGGAAAGAAAAAGAATGGAGTAAAAGGAAATGAACAAAAATGAGAAGAAAAAGAAAGAACAAAAAGAAAAGAAAAAAGAAATGAACAAAGAAAAAAGACGAAAGGTAAAAAGGAAAGAAATGAATGGGCAGAAAGGAAAAGCAAGAAAGGCGAGAAAGAAAACAGAAAAAGGAAAAAGAAAAAAGGGAAAAGAATGGCTGCCTCCTCTCCACATCCAGCACCTTGTCTGGTCTCAATGTGGCTTACCAGAGAAAGACTGGGAGAAGAAGAGAGAAGGAAAAAAGAGAAATGGAAGAAGGGAAAGGGAAAAAGAGGGAATTGAGTGAGAGAGAAGGAAAGAGAGGGGGAAGGAGAGAGAGTGGGAAAACAGACAGAGAGGAATTAAAAGAAAAAAGGCAGAATGAGGTGCGACAGAACGGAAGAAGACAGAAAACAGAGGGGAAAGAGTAAGGAATCAAAGAGAATTGGAGAACTGGAGGAGTGAAGAAAACAGAGAGTGGGGAAAAGAGGAAAAGGAGAGAGAATGGGTTGTGAGGAGAAATAAAGAGAGAAAGAGTAAGAGCATAGAGAGAGGAAAAAAGAGATATAGGGAAAAAGGAAATAGAGTGAGAAGGACGAGACAGGAAAAGAGAGAAAAGAGAGACTAGGGTGAAAGAAGGAAGACGAGAGAGAAGGGAAAGAGAGAAAGGGAACAAGAAGATGGGGTGAAAGGGAAGAAGAGAGTGGTGGTCGAGAGAGGGAAAGAGAGAAAACAGAGATTGGGGTGAAAGAAGGAAGAAGAGAGAGAAGGGAAAGAGCGAAAGGGAACAAGAAAATGGGGTGAAAAGGAAAGAGAGTGGTGGACGGGAGAGGGAAAGAGAGAAAACAGATTGGGGTGAAAGAAGGAAGAAGAGAGAAGGGAAAGAGGGAAAGGGAACAAAAATGGGGTGAGAGGGAAAGAGAGTGGCAGATAAGAAAGGGAAAGAGAGAAGAGGGAGATTGGGATGCTGGGAACTGTAGTGCAGCTCACGGTGAAACGGGCTAATATTAATAGAAAATTCAAATAATTTCACAGGCCGACTTGGACTGTGTCATGGATCTGACTTGGCCTGCAGGCCTTGTGTTTGACACATGGGCTCCAGAGGAAAGTTTAAATGTCAAACAGCTGGAGTTTGAATATCAGGACAGAAACTTTCACCTAAATGCACAGCGCACAGGAGCACATCTGTCTGGCTGAAGAGTATTGAGTGTTGTGAATTTGTGTGAACACATGCAGTCAGAGACGTACAAACTAAGATAAAAGGATCGAACATTCATTTTATTGGTTTGGTTTATTAATACAGTGGTTATTTTAGCTCACAGGCTTTCACAGACAACACAAAGAAAACTTTTATAAAACTAAAAATGTAGAATATAGCTTTCTGACAGTAGAATATGTCTGGCTCAGTCACTATTCATTTATACAAGACAAGCTCTCTGAGTACCTGATCAACATAAACATATATATCACAATAGAAAATAACTTTTATAATACTTTTGCAAATTCAGGATAGTTTAATTTGCATTTGCATATATGTATGTATATATATATATATATATATATATATATATATATATAATGATTTATATACATTCGTTTCAAATAATTATCATCTTATAAAAAACAAAAGAAAAGTGATTGGCTGACCACAGGTAGAAGGAAAACCACTATTTTAAATGGCATCACATACAAAATACCATCTGTTGTAAGTAAAGGGCACCATTCCACAGTTCAAGTGCTAAGCGTAAGAGCAGGCAGGTAGTGTCCAGTGGGCCCCCTGCTTGAGCCGGATTAAAGGACTCAAATGGTAGCAAAAAAAGGCAGGAGAAGGCAAATTGACCTATTCAAGCTCTGCCCATGAATGTATTCTTTCTTAGTTACTGTTGCTAGCATGACAAGCGCTTACGGATTATCATTCAACGTAATCAGAAACTAAAAACTCTGTCAATGTGAGTAAAAGATCAAATGGGTGTAGCTGTTTTGTTACGTAATCTTGCCGTGTAAGCCTTTCACTGGGGTCAAAACATTTCCGCCTTTATTTGTCTCTCTAAATCATTGTCACCAAGCAGCTTCACTTTATGGAGCATATATATATATATGTGTGTGTGTGTGTCTGTGTGTGTGTTTCAGATTTTAGGCTGTTTGAAATGAGCGGACATGGAGAGCACGTAGCTTATAGCTTGTATGTAGAAAATATGTCAGTCGTGCACGAAAAGGAAAAACTAATATAGTCTAGACATAAATTATGTAACACAAAACCAAAGATTTATACATTTTCCTCCAGTCTGACATCACTGGGAGGAGTACGAACACGGTGGCTGCAGCCAACAGGGACAAACTAGACTCTTCCAGATTTGACATCCTGAGACATTTCGGCCACAAACTGTAAGAAGAAAGGTACGTATTGGCCGTTGTTTTTATGTAAAAGCAACACCAAAGAAAACAAATGCCAAGGCTGTGTGTACAGGAATATTCCTTAATGCTTTTATAAAACAGCCACAAAATACAATATGCTATAATACACCAATGTTTAAAAAAATGATTTAATTTATTAATGATAATCATCAAAATGTACTACTTTTCCCACCAAGCAATGTCATTTTAATAGCTTGGCACTTTAATACAGGATTCAACTGTGTGTGGTCATGGGTATACAGAAAATTGGCTCAGCTAATAACCTTTTTTAATTCTATTCTATTAGCAGTCGTGAATTTATTTAGATCAGTGCAGAGATTCCTTTGCGTTAGTGCCATTTGAGATCTACCCACATTACTACAGGCGCATCACTGTTTAATTTATCCCCCATCACAGAAATGCTCCCCTCCCACCTCACATCCACCTACATATGATCTATGGAGGTGGGGGGGTGAGGGGCAAGAACTTTGCGCTACCACACTCGGCGACAATGCTAGCTTTTTTAGCTAGGAACAATAAAATAGCTGAAGGTGAAACTTGAAATACATAACAAAAAACCTACAACCAACAAATATATAACTATTGTTTAAAATGAAAAACACTTGTAATTGACATTTTGCTACATTTTCTCATTAAGCTCAATGGGACTCTCATTAACGTTCTGTAAAGCTTGTCCAACCTTGCAACAGTTGCTATGAAAGAATGCCTTTGTGGGCGGAGCTTGGATAGGTCAGTTGGGGAAAGTCTTGTTTCAGTCACAGTGCAGCTTCACTTGCACAGCAAAAGTGGTTAATTGCGGGATTAAACCTCACCAAAGTCAAAACTTGTCAAAAGTCTCATGATTCAATGTTTCTGTATCAGTGGCTTAAACCTTAATCCAAATAAGAAAGAAAAAAGAGAAAGAAAGAAAAACAGAAAGAAGAAACAGAAAGTGAAGAAAATGAAAGGTCAGAAAAAAAGGTTCAAAGGACAGAAAAAAAAAGGCAAAAAGATAGAAAAAAAGAGAAAGAAGTCTGTACTGGGCACATAGGTCCATCTCTCAAAGTGGCATTGCTCCAAAACACTGCAGGTCCTCAGCCTCGTCTTCAAGGCTACTGGATGGTTCAATGACCATGTCTCGGTCCACAGACGCCAATCGGGCCAGTCAATCTCAGTCGTGGACTCAGTACAATACTCATTAACCAGGATCAGATCAGTCTCATATTCTGTGAATAACACGGATCTCCTGAATCTTTAACTGCAGTCAGTATAACTGGCACTAGGGACTAATAGAATTATTAGCAGCTTCGTCTAGATTACATTTACTGTATTTATAGTAAAAATATATAGAGGACGCACACACACATACAAAATAAAATCTGTATCATATTTGTATCGGGGGTTGATAGGCAGTGGGCGGGCGTCTGCAGGACGACGAGCTCAGCTGGACGCTCTTTCTGCGCGGGAAAATGTTTCACTAGAGGACGTTCCAGTAAATGTCTGGACATGAATGCATTCCACTGGGCTGTTTCTTTGTTAGCCTTCTTCTCTGCAGCGTCCCGTCCTCCATCTCCACTCATGCAACTTTCTCTGTCCATCCGCTTCACTTTCCATGTGCTCTTTCTTTATTCCAACTGAATCGAGTCCAATCTGTTCGCATCGTGTTAGAGCCGCATCCCGGGACAGGCGCTAGCACACCGTCTGCCCGCTGGACATGGACAGGGGGCTGTCCAGAGACAAGCTGGTGGGGGACGTGTTCGAAGCGCAGGTTTTAAACATGGAGGAGATGTGGAAGGCCTGGGAGACACAAACAGGACAAACAGGAGAATTTAGATTTAGGGAAAGCTACAAATGGACACAAACACAAAGCACACACTGAAAAAATTATGCATTGAATGTAACTGAATTTAATAATTTCTACATGAATAAAATGTATACCATCTACACAAATTGTGTTGATGTTAAATATTTTCTCATGTTAAAAATATGTAAATGTTTGAACTTATATGGTGAAACATCAATGCAACTTTCAATTTGCACTGCTTAATGTAAAAACTCCAGCAATTCAGCTGAGATTTGTTTGAAACTCTGCTGTTACAGTTGCGACCGTCTCATCTTTGTAAAGTTTCCTGAAACAGCCACTCAAAACACTGATACTGTACCATGTGACGACATCAAACACAACTATTTTGGCCAGCTGAATTCAATACAGACATCTTGGGAAAGTAAGAACAACAGAGGATTGTTTTTTGGGTCCTCTTTCATTTCTTGCTTAGCCAGCTAATTTAGTTTGATCTAACCCTGTATTTCTGTCTGATCACTTTCTCTGTCCATTGGGTACGTTGCCATGGCAACTTATGCTGCATGGCTAACCTGCTACACGGCAGGTTAGGTTTGGGAGTCTGGATCATAAGCAGCTCTTAAACCAATTAGGGCAGAGCTTGTGACCAATCACTGAGAGCCTTCTGACAGAGACAGACCCTAGGAAAGGTGATCCATTTCAGGCGCTGATGTAAGGCAAGGCAAGGCAACTTTATTTAAATAGCATTCATACACTGCGGTCATTCAAAGTGCTTCACAAATGAAGAAATACAAAGATAATTCAAATTGTAATGTAAAAGTATCAAAGTTAAAAAGAATAGATATTAAAAACATGATTAAAACATGTAAAATATAATGCTTTTCACAAAAGAAACAAATCATACTACAGAGATTTCAAGAATATAATGTAATTATTACTCTAGTAAGCCCTACCATGGTGGCAGTGGTGAGGCATTGTTTTTCTACCATTCTAAATACTTTTCTTTCTACATATTCATATATTTACTTTCCCTTCTTTGAAAAATAAGCTGCTTGACTCTTCCTTATTTTTCAAGTGACTGGCCATTTGTCACACTTTCATGTGTACTCACAAAGATTAAAAATAACTTAAGTTAGGGCTGAAAGATTATTAGTGTTTGTATTTAAATCACAATTTGAAAGAGCGCAATTTTCACATGGCAAAAGATGCAATTTTGTTATACTCTTCATGAGGATCGATGGTGTTTTAAGCAGGTAAATTTAACCTTATTATAAAGAGCTTGTGAACTGCCTATAGGTCGGTTTGACCAATCAGACGTAACGAAACACCTACGTGCTGTGACATCACAACCATGACTAACTGGCAGTCTGGCACAGTACATAAAAAAAAAAAACAGGCCTGGACCTTAAGTTACAGAAAATAATTAGCTGTTGTCACAGCATTGGTCAGATAAATCGCAATTGAACATCTCCAAATTGTTCAGTCCTAGCTTGAGTATCTAAACCTGGGAGAAAGTTGTCATCTGCCATTGTAAAACGAGTTACCTGCCGTTACATCTGTTAAGTTAAAGCTACACTATGTAAGTTTTGGGGTTTGAAACCTCTCTGTTGGAAATGTGTTACTGCATGCAATGGGCGGAAGAGCATGTTCCATGTAGGTAGTTTACTTATTCTCCCTTTAATTACGATGCTAATGTATAACGTATAATACCATGTACAACAACATGTCAGAGATCATTTCATGCAACCAGAATGACATGACATATGAAAACTACTAGCTACTAGGCTAATCACCCCAACTAATGTAATAATCAAACATGCTGCATGTAACTGTTTTTAAACCTCTTTGTGTCACTGCCAAGTTGCACGGAAATTAAGTTTCATGTAACACCTGTGACCAGCTGTGTGGAGGTTCCACCATATGAAACCAGTCCAAAGTCACAGAATGTTCTGGAGAGAAAGAAAGCATGCTTGTTAGTTCTTACCACCCAGTATGCAGTGAGTGCGCCCTGCAGGAACCCGGTGAGGACGTCAGTGGGGTGATGGCGATAGTCAGAGATTCGGCTGAGACCGGTGTACATCGCTAACATCACAAGCAGGAACTGCAGCAGCGGCCGCAACAGCCGCGCCCCTCGCCATGACAGTCGCGCCTGCAAGTAGAACTACAGAAAGGAAGGAGCGGTCAATCAACAGATGAGTACATACACATACAGAGGTTATTTCATATTTATATATATACAGTATTGTATACAGCATAAACTACATCCAGTTATACCAGTATGTACGTCTGTGTGTTTAAGTTTGTATGTCACTGTACAGAGATCACATGTCATTTATTTCATTTCCTGTCAACGGCCATTAAGTAAAAGTTATTCATTTTTCAGCAGCAGGAAAAAAAAGAACACATATATTGAACAGAACTTACACTGAAGCCTCAACAACTAAATGTAATATAAATTTTTTCCGGACTTTTTTCCATTCTTTGTATTTATTACAGTTTCCATTCCATTTCAGGAGACTTGCTTTAAGTTTTTTAAAGAAATCTGCAGGAATATTTTTCAACACCTCCAAAGTTGAATCTTAAAAGTTGGTTGCAATTGGAGTCCAATTTTCTTTCTCTTCATTTTGATATCTTTTAAAACATTTTTTTGAATTCCAATTTTGGAAACTCCTGCTGTTGTAATTTATCATATATCTCCTTGGAAATAAATTATTTGTATTTAAGAAAATTAAATAAATTAAGGGTCTCTGACCTTTGCACAGTATTGTATGTTCACAGCATTAAGATGCACTATCCAATAAAGGGTGTATAGTCAATGTGATTTTTTCCTTAAAGGCTATGTAGAGCATTTGTGTGGTTTTATGTACCAAAAGCAGTCATAATCCATTTTTAGACTTTTCAATCTCTGTTTAAGACTACTAGCCTTTAAGACTAGACTATATGTAAATGACCAGTTCTGCTTGTCTCACCCCTTCACAAGGGAAATGAGGCTGAGGTCGTGTGTAAATATGTTTGCGACATCACAACCAAGATCCAAAAAGGTTTCTGCCTTTTAGTTTCATTTCACTAACTCTATTAGCCTGAGAGTGCCAATTTGAAAGAAAGAAAGAAAGAAAGACAGAAAGAAAGTAAAACAACAAAGGAAAACAAAGAATAAAAGAGAAAGAAAGAAATAAGACAAATAGCAAAGAAAAGAATAAGGCAAAAAAAGAAAGAAAGTAAGAAAGAAAGAATGAACAGAAAAAAGAAAACAAAGGTCTGGAAGAGAAAGACATAAAGATGAAAAATAAGGAGAGAACAAAGGTCAAAGAAAAGAAAAGAAACGAAAAGAAAAGAAAAGAAAAGAACTAAGTACTAAACATGTTCATGTTTCTGACATCACAACCATGATCCAAAACGGGCTGTTTTTGGCTCTTAGCTCCATTCCATTAACTGTATTTACCTGACCGTGTCCATTTGAAACGTTACAATGTTAACACCGTGCAACTGTTTCTTTTGGATAAACAATGAAAACCTGTAAATCCTTGTTATGAGCCCTTTAATGAAAGGCTGGCAGTACCGTGACTCTGGCTGTCTTTTTTGGAGGAAGGCTCATTAGTGAAACCAGGTGGTGCTGTCCAGGACTGGAATGAACTGACACTGAGGACTGTGGTGCCTGAAAGCTGGGTGACCTTGACCTAGACAGAGGCTGATACTCTGACCGAGAGGGCAGGGCTCACATAACAGTATCTGAAACGGTCGATCTGACCACAGCTTCAAGAAAGAAGAAACCAGTCCCTGGCCAGCATCCACTAGAACAAGCTGAGGCTGAGCTGCAGCACTACCCTCTGTACGCCACTCAGAGAGGGAGAAATATTGAGGTCAGTTAATGAACAGGCATGTTGGATGAAGGGCTGGCGAACATTCCTGAGTTTAAGAGCACCACGTACACACACTCACACACACACACACACACTCACACACACACACACACACACACAGGCTGCCACAGGTGTGTGAAGCCCAGAGCAGCTGACCCTGAGAACAGCAGCACACAGCTGCAGGAAACACACACAGCCAGAACCAGATAAAGTTACAACAGGGAGGGGAGGGAGATGAGGCTGGGGCAGAAAGGAAAAAGAAAATAAGAAAGAATGAGTAAGAAAGAAAGAAAGAAAGAAAGAAAGAAAAACACAATGAAAAGAAAGACAAACACATGGAGACCATAAAAAACAAATAAGAACAAGTCAAAAAGAAAAACAAGAAAGAAAGGAATAAACAGAGAAAAAGGAATATAAGAAATAAAAGAAAAAGAAATAAGACAAAAAGGAAAGAAAGAAAAAAGACAAAGAAAACAAAAAAGAAAGAAAGAAAATAATGAAGACAAGAAAACAAATAAGAACAAGAGAAAAAAGAGGAATAAACAAGAAAGAAAAGAAAAAAGACAAAAAAGAAAAAAAGAAGGAAAACAAAGAATAAAAGAAAGAAAGAAATAAGACAAAGAAAACAAAGAAGATAGAAAAACAAAAGAAGATGGTAATGGGGCAAAGAAGGAAAGGAAGAAAGAAAAAGAAAAGTAAAAAGAAAAAGAACACAAAGGTCAGGAAGAGAAAGAAAGATGTAAAAGAAGGAAAGAACAAAGGTCAGTAATAAGAAAAGAAAAGAAAAGAAAAGAAAAAAGAAATGAATGTACTGGGCACATGGCTGCCTGGTACAATGTCAGTCAGGGAATTTCTGTGACTGGTCAAAGTGGCATTTCTCCAAAACACTCCAGGTGGGAGGGAGAGAGAGAGAGAAAGAGAGGGAGAGAGAGAAAGAGAGAGGGAGGGAATGAGGGATGGGGGATGACAAAGAGCCTGGCACTGCTTTTCAGAAGACCCTTCACACTGCTCTTCAGCTGCTTTCCCATTTTTCCCCCCTCTCTCTCTCTCTCTCTCTCTCTTCAGTGCTGTAGCTCTCTCTGTCTCAGCGCAGGCGTAGCTCTGTGAATGGATGAAGGAAAATGGTAGAAACTTGTTCGTGTCGGACGGCGCTCCAAACCTCCTGACACATGAGTGGCACACAGTGCAGGGAAAAGCCTGATGGGATTTGTGGAGGAAGCCGTGATAAAGGAGCCGGCTTTGAATGTCAGGCTTTATGAGCGAGCGTGAGTGTCCTGTCATTTTTCCCTTTCAGTGTGGCCCCTCCATCAGAACAGCAGAGAGAGAGAGAGAGAGAGAGAGAGAGAGAGGGAAGGGGTCAGTGCTGAAAGAAGCCTGTCCATCTCTCAGTAGGCCAAAGCCCCCCTCCCAACCCACAGCGAAACAAGGCCTCTTCTGTCCCCAGCCTGTTTTCTCCCTCTCGCTCTCTCTCTCCCTCCCTCTCCCATCTATTCAGCAGACTTTTGGAGAACGTTCTCGTTCTCTCTTGCCCTTTCTTTTTTGTTTGAAACAAGATGCCTTTGGGGAGTTTTGGCTTTCTCAGACCCTTCTCCATTCAGTGTGTGTGTGTGAGCATGTTTTTGTTTGTGAGTAAGAAATTTTTGGCAGCCCCCCATATGGCACGAATCGGAGCCTACAGCGGTAAATCTCATCAGCAGAGCGGAGCCAGCGATCGCAGTAATTAAAGCTTTGAGACAGCTGTTTGGTAATACCAGTGAAGACACATGTGTGTTCTGCATCAGTGTGTAGTGTGTAGTGCGTCTGTGACCACACAATAATACTCACAGCAAGGTAAAGCATTGTGTACATGGCAAAAGAGGCATGTCCAGAGAAAAAGGACTTCCTGTAAAAGACAAGGAAAAAGGTTTTAATTACTGGCATTCATGTCTGTCAGTCTTTTCAACAGCACAGGCCACATATTGTAACATAATTGCACATTATATTTTTATTGTTTTAGTATATTTTATTATTCATCTTTACTTATTCTATGCATCTGTAAATAGTGTTCAGCCATACTTTTGCTCTTGTTTTTGCTCTTTACTGTACTTTGTACAGCTGCAATCGAAGACTTTCCCTCTGGGATTAATAAAGTGATCTATCTATCTATCTGTCTGTCTGTGTGTCTATCTCTCTCTCTCTCTCTCTCTCTCTCTCTCTCTCTCTCTCTCTCTCTCTCTCTCTCTATCTATCTATCTATCTATCTATCTATCTATCTCTTTCTCTGTCTATCTAAAATGACACAACAATTAAGGATGGCACTGATCTGTTAGCGGGTATCGGTAACAGGCCAACGTCAGGAGAAAATGCTGGACTGGATATCGGAGAGGAAAAAAGAATCAATTGTTCAACAAATCTATCATCTATCAAGTCTTTTTATGGGGTTGTTGAGTGTTTGAGTAGTTTGAGAGGGACATCCTACTTTTAAATGCTCATTTTAAGTGCAGTGCTCCAATTAAAAATCACTCAATTTTAAACCTTACTAGTTTTTAAAGAAGAAATATTGGATTAATATACTCAAGGTTTCAACATTGGTATCAGTACTGGACAAGAAAAAGAGGCATCGTGCCGTCTCTACATACAGCGTCAGAACCAGAAATCACATTAGCATATCTGAGATTACTGAACAAGTCAACATGACCTTCTTACTGTATACGCCAGGTCACTGTAATGTGGGTTTCCACCTATTTTTCAAGTTTTCTGCATAACTCAGTGGTTGAGATGTAAACCAAGATGTAAAGCCACTCAGTGACTTCACAACTGATGTGAGCAACCATTGGATGTGAAGTGGTTCACTGCAGAGAAACTTTTGCTCTGGTTTCTTTATAGTGGTGCTTACAATATAGCCATTTTATTTACCAGTGAACCTCTCTGAGTTTTATATGTAATGTTGATAACTCTGAAACAGCTTGTGGCTGTGTTGCTGTGCAGATAGTATTATGCTAATAGGTGGCCTATGAGTTTCCACTGCTTGTTAGTTACCTTAGCTTCACAGCTCCAGTGCAAAACTAAAGAAGCAAACTTCTGACAACAAACATGTCTTGGCGCTCTCTCGCTCTCTCTCTCTCTCTCTCTCTCTCTCTCAGGATCTATAGTGCACGAACACGTCATGAAGCTGGCTCACCTGGCCTCCTCCTCTTCCTTTGGTGTGCAATTGCAGATCACATCTGCCACGTAAGTGTCCGGCATGCAGCGCAGCGATGCATATGTCACGTTGCACACGGAGAGAAAGTTGGGGCGAAGCCGGCCCACGCTCAGCTTGGCCATGTTGGTCAATGACTGGCCGATGCAGCAGCCGAACAAGAAGGCACCCAGCTCTTTGTAGAGGCAGGAGACGTAGCAGTTTCGCACGAAGGCGCGGGACTGGACGCCTCGGAACCGGACCCGGTAACACTCACCCAGAGCAATCTGAAACAGACAAAGAGCAAAGACTTCAGAGTTACGATAAATCCAGCCCTACACTTAAAATACACTGGAGAATCAGGGTCATGTAGCACTCTATTACAGGAAATGTACTAAGGGTGGGCGTCGATATTCAAATCCACACTCATCTTAGGCTACACTTAGACTTCAGGCAAATCGGATTTGTTTCTCAAATCAGATCTTTTGAGACAACTGTCTGCTATATGTGTTTACAGCACTCAATGTTATTTGCAAGTGATCATATCGGATTTGTGTGTCCAGACATCACCAACCTATCTGCATGGGTTGCTGCGGTAACGACATCAGTAACTACGTAGATATGCTGGTGACAGGGATTTAAAATGCAGATGCAGGAGAGATGGAGGTGCAGCATCTCGCCATCCAAACTCTCTGGCATAAGCATGAATCTTTGACACTCTTCTTGAATCCCAGCACTTCTGTCACTCTGGATTTGATTGCATTTCAAACCAACTCCAAATGTAGTTCGGATGTGATCTGCAAAAACTGGATTTCATGTGTTTTTTGTTCTCCAAACTTTAAAAACTCTAGATCACTCTAGATACAATCTGAATATGCCAAAAATCAGATTCGGGCTGGCAGTCTGAACAAGGCCGTTGTGTTCATTTACTTAATCAGAAAATGCATGTGTCATTCAAAATTGAAATTGAAAGAAATCATGTGTTATCTCTTCAATCTCTTCAAATTTAAGCTGTTGACTGAGCGTGTGGCACTGAACTGCTGCCGCTGACTCTCATCCCATCTGCTCAGCGACACAGCCAACCAATATTGGTTGGACAGGCAGTGCCACAAAATGGCCTGACAACAAATTTGAGCTGTTTTTGGCAAACAGAAAAACATCCGTGGGCAATTTCCTTACTGTACTTTTTTAGGTCTTTGGGCTTTGGGTTAACTGTCTTTAGTTATAAGACAATGAAGCTGTATTAGAGTACAGGTGGCCAAATTGGCTTATTTATCTTCATTCATTAGCTGTGAATACATAAGAGCTCCAAATTGACAACAGAAAAACTCAAGCTCAAATAAACAAACATATCTCACTGCTGCCCCATAAACATGTTAAATCACCAGTCAGAAGTTTTTCTTTACATATATTTACCTCAACCCAACAGTAGAAAAGCACCCATTTCACACTCTGTTTGCTGCAGCATAAACATATAATTGTGAAAGCTAACAACTGTGGGACATAATCAGCTCAAATAAGTGCTATTGGGAGATTATGTATTAACTGTGACAGGCCTAGTTAAATGTTCTGTGTTTTTTGCTTTTTTACTAGTAGCAACATAAAATGTTCTCTCATTTGGAAAATACTATTTTGTGCACCACTAATCTGCATAAATCACCAGGAAAACATGACAGAATCTTTTTATTTTGTGAATATAAACTTTACAGTGAATAGAAGACTAAATAAAGCAAAACAGCTGAGTGCTCAGTAGACAGAAGGTAATGATGTTAAGCAGTGGTGCTGTATTTCTGGAGGGACAGTTCGTCTAGCAGCTCTTCTGAATGATTGTGTAGACGAGTGGAGATCTGTGTGCTCGTCTCACCGTCACCCCCGTGATGATGATTCCTCCAGCGATGAGCAAACTGTCCGGAATGGCCTCATTCTCCAAGTTAGGGTACGTGATGCTGGGGTCTCCGCAGAAAAAGCCTCTCCTGTACGGCTTAACCGTCTTCAGTTCACATGCAAAGAAAGGGATGGAGGCTGTGGAGAGGGGAGAGAGGGAGAAAGAGGGGTTACATGTCTGTCAAAAGTAGGGGCAGGCAGATCAACACTGAACTGTCAATACTTTTGATCCTGGTATTTTCTTCTGAGAAACGTTCCTGATGTAAAACTACCAAAGTTTTCTTTAACTCCTTAAAAAAGGTTCATTAGATCCTGAGGCTTATTATTCAGTAGCTACAAGAAAAACAATGCAAATGGACTGAGCTACAGGAGGACTGAGGAATGAAGTCTGGGCAGGGAGGTGTTGGCAGTTTAAGAAGTCAACCAAATAAATTAATATTTTTTAATAAAATCATTTTTTTGCTGAATGACTGTTTATGGTTCAATGCTTCAATCATGTCGAAAATTAGAAAACTGATGGAATTTTCCTTTGAATGTGTAGGATACACAGGCATTGACCCGCTATATAGTAACAGGCCTAATGTTAGGTTATTTTGATCAATTTAGAATCAGTGTTAGCTGTTCATAATTTTACTCAAGCATAACTGACTGTGTTGTTCAAAGGCACGTCACGGATATCAACAGCACTTGTAGAACACTGACCAACTGCACGTTTCATTATAACGAGAACAAAATTAGTTATTATTAGTGCAAGACAGTATGCCAAATATTGAATAAAATCATTGTATTCACAGTTTTGATAGAATGTAGGACTACTAGTTCTTTTTTCTCTGTTCCAGCTGATCAGATGTCTGAAAAAATAAATATTGTGATATATATATATATATATATATATTATGCAAATTTCTTGAAGTATCACAATATTTTGCCACTTTACCCACCTCTACTTTGGAGTATTTCAAGTTTCACTAATAGACAGTAATAATAATATAGTAAAGTGAAACCCACAGCTCGAGCTTTTCTTATTCTTATAGAACATCTGAATATTCAAGATATGTGTGGTGGTTTTGGGGGGGTGCCTTAAGATCACAGTGAGATAACACCTTATCAGCTGAATTATGTGCTATTAGAGCCAGGCTTGAGACTTCAGTCTGTCACTCGTGCCTTTGTTTGTGAAATGAAGACGTGGACCTGAGGACCTGGCATTCCACACATAACTCCAGCACAGACAGAATGACAGTGCTGAAAGATTCAGGATCAGGAGATGAACAGGGCCCCGAAGAAAGGAGGGATTGTGGAGAAGACTGAACGCGAGAAGAGGAATGAGGAATGAATCTGCAAGAGATTCTGTCGAGACTCGTTCTGGAAAGTACGGTTCATTCTGAGAACACAAACATGTTCTATCAACCGCAGCACACTCAAAGAGAAAGTGCTTAAGTATTAATGATTAAACAGGGCACTCCTGCTTTATAGCACCCATTACCTGAACCATTTCCTGCTGGACACTGATAAGAGTGGAGGGAATTCTGGGAAATCAGGGTGGCTCTTAAGGTCCTGGGCAAACACATCCTTGAAATGAGGGCAATGGGTAATGCTGGTCAAAAGTCTGGAGGTCTAGCTTATTAATAAGTACAAAGGGTTTTTGTCAGTTTGCAATAACTTAGACAGCAATTCCACTGGTTTCTCAACATTTCTGCATAATAATGTAAACAGTCATTCAGAGTGTTTTGATGTGAAACGGTTCCTTGTAGAGAAACCTACCAACACTTTTCTTTACAGTCACAGTGATAGGAACCAGGGGTTGCAATATAACATAAATACAGCCATATTTACTATCTAAAACAACCAGTAAACCTACATGTCTTTTGAGTTTTTATATGGTGGTAAAATAGTGATAAATCTAACAAACAAGATTTACTTGCAAACAATTTTACCTTCCACTGCCCTTCGTGCACCTCTCCAAATGTAGTTTAAAAATAGGTTTTAGGCCAAAACCTTATTGCAAAACTGTCAGAAAACAAGGAGTGAGTTTACAGCACTCAATAATCCGATCATAATCGGATTTCTGCAGTTATTTGATTTTTACAATTGGTCATGTAAACAGCATACTCCGATATCTTAGATCAGAGTAAGGTCTAGAAATCTGAATAAGAAATCTGATAAAGAATAAAGTAATCAGATTTCTCAGTGCATATATTCTTTTACTCGGATTTCTTTCAGATTTCGTCTGCACATGTGTGAAAACAGACGCCGGCACCGGAAACAAGCGAGCAGTGTTGCTGCGAGATGCAGCAAAACACTTTTGGAGTGACACTGAAACCCACTACATGCTTGACGAAATGAAGGATTTAAATATTTAAATCATCTTCTAGATGATGTATGTCCATATTTTCAGTTAAAGTGGCGCAATGTTTTAAAAAAAAGTGGCGGCATGAAGTTTGACATTTACTTTATGTTTACATCACGTCTTATACTGTGAGTTTATTGGCTGGTTGCAAAGCAGAAATCTGATTACCTCCTGACTCATGTAGACCCAGAGTTTCCCATTATCTGATTACTCAAGTGCATGTAAACGCATGGATTAGATTACTGATCAAGTCTTATTTTCTGCGGTTATCGGATTATTAAGTGTACGTAAACGCACTCAATGTCCCAGGCATCAGCCAAAGTACTAACCATTTCAGGTAATAAAATTCTGTGAGGGAGCTTTTAGAGGAATTAAATCCTTCAGATGTCTGGTTCACATCACCACACAGAACAGCACATTTCACATTAAAGCACTCTCAGTTAGGGATGCACGATGATTTTTGAATCATATCAAGCTTAGAAAGGCAATTGTTGAAAAAAATTAAATGATGTTTAAAAATACAATCAGCATCGGACAGATGTTTTGATCTGACCAATATTTCAAACTGATATTTGCTGACAGGTTTATTATACTCCAGAGGCCCAGAATATTTAAGCAATGCAGCACTACAGTGCTAAAATATTTGTATTTTGTTCATTTTACTACCTTAGTAACCCTCTGTAAATAAATGTTATATTTCTCTGTAATGCTAGTCCTGGTCGGTTTCCCAATTTCGACATTTTATAAATGTTTATGTATCGGCAACAGAAGATATGTGCATAAAAAATGATCAGATATTGTCATCGGCCCACAATTTCTATATCAGTGCATCCTTAGACTGAATGACTTGGCTTGACATTTAATTATGCAGAAATTTTGAAAAATAGGTAGGAATCCATTTTAACATATTAAATAAACAGCTGTTACATTTGACAGAAATCTGTCATAAGAATAAAACCAAAGCTCACTCATTTGATCCTCTTGTTGGGACATCAGCTCTCAACTGCATACAAACTTTTCAGGTTTTTAAACCACCTTTGGGCCAAAAGAGTTCCAAAATGTGTTTTTAACGACAGTTCGGAAAACTGTCAAATCATTATTTAGGCAAAATCTACTCTTCACATCAAGTCAGATACTTTGATGAACATGAAGCTGGGTGCTGAAACTATATACTGTATATACTATATAAATATACTCAAATGGTTAGCAAGTAGCTATTAACCATAGCAGGTATACTGTCCTACTTAACAGAATGCTAACAACGTAAAATTTAAACAAAGCAAGATGTTCCCGAACTTTTGAAGACCAGTGGCTGTTTGTAAAGTAGACCAATAACTGCAAAGTAGATCAATAACTTTCTGTAAGGTTCACCAATAGGTATTTGTAAAGAAATCTAATAACAGTTTGTAAAGTAGACCGAAGACTGTAAAGTAGACCAATAACTTTTTGTAAAATTTGCCAAAAGTTTGTTGTAAAGAGATCCAGCAACAGTTTACACTTAACATCAAGGCAGATTGATGAAAATGAAGGAGTGTTGAAACTTAATACACTTAAACGGTTAGCAAGTAGCTATTTTTTTTTAAACTTTTTTTTTGATGTTTTACCCGATTTTCTCCCCAATTTAGTCGTCACCAATTCCACCTGCTAGTTAGGACTCCCCCAGTCACACGATACTATCAACTAGGAGGGCGAAGGCTAACACAGGCTTCCTCCGAGACCTGTGAAGCGCCACCGCTTCTTTACGTTTTCACGCAACGTCATTGGACAGCTGAACGCGCTCGGAGGAAAGCGCCAACCGCCAGATCTGTTACGTCAGCTAACAGACACCTGCGCTGACTAGCATCGCGCTGAGTGAAGGGGGTAGAAGGGGGGGGGCATCCTACCCACCCAGAGAGAGCAAAGCCAATTGTGCTCTCTTGGACTCCCAGCTACGGGCGGCTGTAGCATCACCAGGGATCGAAATCGCGATCTCCTGATGATAGGGCCAACGCTTAGACGTTTGCGCCACTCAGGAGTGCAGCAAGTAGATATTAACCTTAGCAAGTATATCATCCTACTTAACAGAAAACTAACAGCGAGAAATTTAAAAACAAAGGAAGACGTTCCCAAACTTTTGATGACCAGTGTACTAAAGCCATGGCTGTTTGTAAAGTAGACCAATGACTGCAAAGTAGATCAATGACTTGTGATCAATCATGTAAAATCAATGTAAAGTTCACCAATATACTTAATATACTCAACTGGTTAGCAAGTAGCTATTAACCTTAACAGGTATACCGACCTACTTAACATAAAACCAACAGCTAAAAGAAAGCAAGATGTTCCCAAACTTTTGATGACCGTTGTACTAAAGCCATGTCTTTCTTTATCTGCAGCCATGTGGGGTGCGTGTTATGGGATTGACCAAGCTATGCTAAACTTTGGCCTGCTTTCTCAGAGGAATCTCTCTCTCTCTCCCCTATTCCTCTGCCTCTCTCTCTCTCTCTCTCCTGACCCTTCTCGCTCCCATGCCCTCTCTCCTTCAGCTCGACCCGTAGAGCCTGGGACTGATCATTAACCCTCCTCTCTTCCAGCACCCGCTGGAACACAGCCACACACACACACACAGATCCTGCCAGGGGAGCTCAGAGTATGTGACCACGCAGAGTCAAAGTACCATGTAAAAGTCTGAGGCCACCCTTCATTTATTAATTTTCTAGTCAAAATGGCCATTCAGCACTATTACTATTCATTTTCAGGAGATATTTCTGTGGACAGCTGCCAAAACTGAGTTGGAAAATGACTCCTAACA